GTAAAGCTAGGAAAAACATTTTAAAAACTAACAAATATTTACTAATTTTTCAGACCTCATGTAGGTCACATGGTTTCGCAAGCATCTTGATTTAGTCCTGCAGTCAAAAACTATTGCAGTCTCCTCATGATCACTGACTGTGTGACATAATCTGTTTATTTATGAGTAATTGTCCTACAGATCACCAACTAAAATAATCTATGTCGAATGATTGGGGGCCTTCTCCAGTTAGGTGGAAATGGTGTGACTGACAGCTAACTTCGAAGTCACACCTTGCGGTTGGAACCTAACGTGGTTTACCCCTTCGTCGTATCAAGTGGCTATTTCTGCTTTGAAGATAACACAAAGGACGTTACCACAGAAATATGTTAGTTAGAGTACGTACAAGTGAAAATCTAACCTCTACCGTATAGGTCAGTCAATTACACACAGTCAACTGATGCGCGTTGGTTGTCCTTGACTTTGACAGGGATCGATGATCTGTGCGATATTCAGTGACCTGACTCCTGTATGATTTGACTAGGGCTTAGTAACATTTCACTAGCCCTACAATCCTGTTATATCCGCGTCGCCCATTACTTATAATTGAAAACAAGCGATCACTGAAATTCCCACGACGCCATGTAAGATCATAGATGACTGGTAGAAATGAAAGTTTACTGTCTCTAAAATAGACGCAGCGACTCTAGTTGGAAATATGCTGATTGATTTAAACACCTATTTGATTAATAATTAGAAGAGTCATATTTATGAAGTTAGAAAAATTAGCGCGCTGCATGTCATGCAGAACTTAGCTCACGTTAATTCAGTACAAAAATATCATATCTTGAACAAACATCTCACTGAAATAAATCAGTGTTACACTGGATAAAATATCCCGTTGAAATTAGAAAGATAGTACACTTAATTATTATGTTATTGAATTTAAAACGGAACTGATTTTGAACAAGAATTACAGTGAGTTAAAAGCTTGATTCTGCCTTTTTCGTCCAATCACATCAAATCTGTGCTGTGTAAAGAAAATGAATGATTGCTAGAAAACTGAAGGTTTCAATCTGCCATTCTTCAAAAGTACAAGCAACAGTTTCCGCAGTAATATCCTTGATATATGCTTTTTCTGGTCATTGTGTGAAACTGTTTACAAATGTTAGATGAAACCATTTATTCGATTCTGACAGAAACCGTTCATATAACTCAAAATTTGTCTCTGGTGAAGTTCAGGCAATATAAACTGAAACTCACTGTATGAATCGCTCACTGGTTTCGCGTTGTTTTACGGTTGTCGTTAGCTCCTGATACGAATTAACCTGAAGCGATGGGAATAACTATTCAGTACGATTTTTCAACTAAGTTGTTTGTCTGCTTTCCTATGATTTTACGCTAACAGAACAAAACTGTCACGAGAATAAGCTTGTAAAAAATCTGAATTTCAAAAAAAATTTTTGACCTTAAAAGATAGTTTTTTGAGATTGCTGGGGATGTTAAATCCCCGGAACTTACTTGGTAAATGACTTATTTTTGTAATCTTATTTTGAAAAGTTGAATTTCCTTATTTTCGCGCCAAAAGCGCTCCATTCACTTTCGAGTCGTGTTTCCCACTTGGAAATATCTTAAACGCTATTGGTCCGTTGTATCTTTTTAGTGTGCTATTTTGTAATGCTTCACAAGGACAACTTTGTACTGTACAAATACGTTTGATTTCTTTCTAGTGTGGTTGCTTGTACTTCGGCTGTTTACGGAATATATTTTTCCCTACTTCGTCTTGGACTTCTTCCTCTAGTTAGCGGGGCCTGGGACAACGGATTAGATTACCCTATCGTGTCAGTGTCATTGACCTTCGTTCGTTTACCGAGAAATCGAATTACCATCAACCATATGATAGAGGGAAATAATCTTATAGACAGTCCATAAAATTCTCTTTGACTTTCGTCCCTATAACCTAATTATTATCATATTCACTGTTTTCATACATGTAATGCACAAAAAATTTTTTTTCTTATTCACAATGTTGTTATTCGGTTGTTGTTATTATTCATGTTTACTAAATTAACTATAACCCTTACAGTAATGTGAATTTATTTTCCACTCTTTGTAAACTCTTCGGCTATTTACAGAACAAATAAAATCAATGTAATCCATTTTCTGTAGATTATTGGTCATATTATAAATATCGTCAAAGAATATGAAAAGAGTTTTCATACTGATAACATTATCTGTGTTTTTATGGGATAGTTTTATAAGTAAATATGTTTGACAAAGAAAATTTGGAAGATAACAATAATAGTGTACAAGAAGGATTTTATAAACTAACATAGTGGTAGATAATACGGGTAAACAAAAAGGATGTTAAGCCCAAAAGGAGTTTGAGAAAAAGGTCATAACGATAATACAGATAATTTCCTTTTAATGTTACTTTTTTCTTTGTCCTTTTCTATCTGCCATTTATTACCAATGTTATTTATTTCACAGATTGCCAAATTTAACGTTTTACAGGTACAAGTGATCAAGTTTTCAATGGAACAAATCAAGATATTCATTGAGTATAATTAGTCCCAAACATTACTTTTGAGTATTGTATAAATATATCTACATGTATAACTGTTGATTTGTGTCAGTTTTGGGATTCCAGTATATTAAAAGCTTCATCGACTATTGTGAGACAATGAACCATAAAATTTTGTTGGAATACAAAAGATTAGTTTGATTACTGTTAAGTATACACCAATTATTATAGCCGTAAAAAATATTTTTATCACGAGAAGAGTATTATGAGTAATAATTCACTTTTTCTAACCTCTGAATCTAGACAGTCTCTAAGAAAGACTGATCGAATTCAGGTTTTAATATCAATAACGGTAAAACTCTAACTCCTACATATACAGGTACGTACCCACTGAACAATTTAGAGGATGTTTAGGCTCAGTAGCTCAGTGGATAATAGGCTGACGTTTAAAATAAAAGGTACTGGGTTCCAGTCTTAATATGAACATCAAAACTTTGTGGCAGGTACATTTTAGCTGACGAGTTTCGAAAATGAAGCTTAACGAGTGTCTTGAATCCCAATGCCAGCCTCAAATTAACTTTACTAAAACTTGTGACTAAAGACATTATCAAGGCAATCCACTCAGGGTGTATACGTGCTAATAGAGAGCAATCGTATGTAGTCGTTAATATGAGCAACGGGAATACCTAAACCCGTACATATTCAAATATGATCATTTGAAATAACTATCACTAGATTAAATCTACTCACATTTAGTCCCGTTTATTTTATTTAATATATTATTCTAAATATGAATATCTTCCTTTTAATTTGTATCATCTATCGTCTCATATTTTTCCTCTATTGGTAATGGTAGTCTGTTTTACTAATTAGCTTTTATTTCATTAACGGATTGTATATTTTTGAGTTAATGTAAAATATGATAGCTAAAACAACTTCCGTCTATTAATCCCTCAACAAGTTAACAAAGAGTAAAAGCATAAGCAATTTTACGAACGTCCCACATAGTTGTAAAACATACAGTATATTAGAATAATAACTATTGTTTCTGAACACAAAATAAACATTAAAACATCTGTCGTAATCACTATATACTTCTTCTAAATGTTTTGAAAATAGTTTCCGTAGGCCAATATAAAGTCCTATGATTACAATAATTTACAAAGTAATCATAAAAATCTTTTTTTAAATACCATCAATAAAAAGTAACATTTACTTAGTATTGTTTGTTTGAATCTTCCCATTGATGTTCAGGAATGCAAATGGTCAGTATCTAATCGGCATATGTTCATACTGTGCGTATTGCCTCCATATAGCCTTAATTCACAAGCATGGTAAGCAAAGATGGATAATGGCAAGCAGTGGAATCCAAGACATATGTTTCGTCCTATTTGGGAATCGTCAGCTGAATGTATCTGCATCTCAGAGTTGATGTTCACTCTGGGACTCGAACCCAGTATCTTTCGCTTCAAACATTGTTTTAATGCCATAAATATTGATGAAAATATTTAAATTCCACTGCTTACTTATCTTGCTAAACCTGTAGGGGTATCTCATCTGCTTTAGGGTTCAATTCTGAGTTAAATAATACGGCTTATTAGCAACTTCAGAGGTAGAGTTTGCAGATATTAAGTTTGTCGAAAACGAAAGAGAAGTGTGATGTAAACTGTATTTAATTCTTGTATAAAGCGCAAAAATAAGACCGGACATTGCCGTATTGCTTAAATTGTTAAAAAACACGCTTATCCAACCATACTTACGTTTCATTAATAGTTTATATTAGGTGCATCATTTGACTATTCTACCTACTAGTTGTGCTCTCACTGGATGACAGTTAAATTAAGAGATTATGTCATTAATTCAATACCTCAAGCAAAAGTTATATATTGAGAACATCGTGTCACTGGATATCATCTATCGACAAACATTATGTTCATCATTTTAGCTCGCTAAAATGATGTCGTAAGGCTCATACGCAAAGGTGGATTGTGGCCAGCAGTGGAATCGAAGACGCGCGACTCAACCGTTTTGGAAGTGGTCAGCTTGATGTACCTGCATCTCAATGTTGATGTTCAATCCAGGATTCGAACCCAATACCGTTCGCTTTGAAAAGCCATCACGTTAAGTACTGAGTCATGGCAACGACTTGCTCGTGCAATGGGGCAATATCAAGGCAACACTCACTCTATGCACATATGTTAATAAGAGACTGATCAATTACAGTTCTAAACTTCAATGAGAAGATTAAAACAAAACAATACCAAGTGAATTAAAAAACAAAGTTGTTCATAGAACATTCAGTTCGGAAAGGTTCTTTTTATTATTAGAAATAATGTTGTAGAAGAACTGAAAAGAAGTATAAAATTAACATAATCATAATCAAATAAAGATGACATAAAAGTTCTTCAGAAAAAAATATTTCTTCTTGTACAAAAAATGTGATGTATGCATAACGTTTTAAAAGAAATCAGTTTTCTAACTTGTATTCAGAACTTTTCTATGACGGAAGATAGTTTTCGGTTGTACAACTGTTTCTTTCAGCATGCATAACAAGATTACGAAGAATTGACTGCTTTATTGGTAAAAAAAGAAATCACAGAATACAAAGAAAAAATTGAAAAATAATTGTCACAATACACTACTTACAGTCATCACGTAATAATATACACATATTAAGGCATGTTTCTATTGAGTTCTTGATTACGGCGAGACTATAATTTATGGACGAGTTAATGAAAAACGAGTGAGCGATCTTAAGGTCACGGAGCCTATTTCAGTACTCAATGTTCATGTACGATCAGTTTACCGAGGACATTAAAGACGGTTACAACAAATGAGATTACTAAAACAGTTCCCTTATTTGTGATTGTGGTAATCAAATGACTCCTGGACCTTGTGCAGACTGTCATGATGTTGTATTTCGATGTAATATATGTTGGAGGAAGAAGTCTGTTAGAACGGGAACTTTTTCCGCTCGATTCCGATTGAGACTAAGACAGATTATGATAATTGTTGCAAACTAGATAATAAATGTACCAGTAACACTGACTGCAACCTTTGCAGAGGTTACTAAAGCTTCGACAGTCCAATGGTGCTACTATTATCGAGATGTTTGTGCAATAAAAATGGCAAGCTTGTATGAGTCGTTTGAAGGAGGTGGGAGAATCGTAGAAATAGACGGAACGGTCATTATAAATCGTAAATTTAATAGAACATGAAGTGTTAAAGAAGACTGGGTAGGTAGCGTTTCCATAAATACGCGTAACAGGTCCTTAGTATATACGATAAATCACCTCAGAAACTGACAAGCTACAGCCATAATACCAGTTATACGAGAGTATGTGCATCCAAGAACCATAATATACACGGATGACTGGAGAGCATATCGATGCTTACATAGACTTGGTTACGTGTATTGTCTCATCCTCCACAAGCGGAATGTTGTAGACTCCACCACCAGTGTGCAGTGTGGTCGAAGCTTCAAGAGTTTTTGTGACGCCATCATGGCTCCAGAGATCGACTACTTTGGAGTCACATGGATGAGTTCCTGTATTGTGCGCATTATGATTTCAAAACTGTAGAACCTCTTTCTAACCTTGAGAAGTTTTTAAACCATGTCAAAGAAGTGTATCCACTTTAATTTTTTGGTTTCGTATAATATATTCTTACTCTACACATACTGTTTTCTGATTGAGTGAAATTTCTCAAGGTAACTTAAGATTCGTTCAAAAATCGTCTATGAATTGTGGTCTCGCCACATAAACTATTGATTTTAGAATAAAATTCCTAGTTCTATTTAGATGTTAAACATTAATTATTCCGTTCATAAGTATAAGAAATGTATTGAACAAGATTACAAGCTAATAAGATGTTGAATTACTGGTAACCTAACGCTAGCTTGTAATCACCTTTTTTATCTAAAGAACACAGAACAAAAACATCGTCATAAAAATGAATGAATCAATTGAATTCCTCCAAAAAATATTAAACAACATCTAATTACCTATTTAAATCTTCACACAAATTCATCATTAAACTGAAATTAGCTTAAATTACTAAACATACATAATCACTTACCATTATTTGACTGTACGCTGAACAGTTTCAATGAATTCTTTTATATCATCAAAGTGTTCTTTACCTTCATAATCTATTTGTTCGTTTGATTGTTTAGGAAATATTTTGATTCGAGGCATTTTAGTAGCTGTTAATTCTTCATAATCATTTAAATCAAAATAGGAATAACCAAATAATAAATCGTTTCGACGATGTTCTTGATAATATTGTGATAATTTCGTAAATTCTTCATGAATTGTTCGATTACATCCCATACACCATTTAGCGGCTAAAAATAAAATGTAGTCAAAAAAACTAATTTTTGAAAAATTTGTGACTGTATCTAAACTGGATGCCATCAGTAAATTAATTGCCCGTTGAATTGGTGCTTTTAACTAGTATATCAACTTATAATTTATTGATCAGAGGGGGTTTTGTGGAGAATTTAGTATTTTCACAGTTGAAATCACGAGTCAATTGAAGCTAGACCATCATCGAAAACCTGAAAGCACTGGACGGCCGTTTCGTTCTAGTGTGAGACTCGTATCAGCAGTGCGCATCCACGATCCCGCACCCGCGAGATTCGAACCCAGGACCTACCAGTCTCGAGCCAGAGCCCTTAACCGATAGACCACTGAGCCGGCATCCAAGCAGTGGCCAGTGGAGTTCTACCAAGTCTGTTGTAGAGATATCAACTCACTGAAGATAATTGGTGAACGGTCACTCAAAATCGTTGATTGGATGAAGTTATAATTTATTATTTAGGAAGACTAATTTTACTTAGACATAAAAAGAATGAATTTTCACCTGAGAATTACTACTGGATATTTATTAAATCGTTTTATTCAGTAAACATCTGACTTAAGTCACAAGAATGAAGCCACCAACTCATCTTTATTTCATTTAAGATGTTTTTTGACTATAACAAGAGGTATATAATATGTTTTGTTGTTCGAAGAGGATAAATTGATTTAGCTAATTCTATCAGATCGAAGAAAGATAGATTGTGAGCAGAATCTTATTCACAAGACCAAATATCCTATTAAAATGATAAATCTTAAATTAATAAATCGTGACACGTACCGAAATATTACCCAAGTATTTTCATTCAATCTCAATGTTTACATAGACAAGAAGAATCTAATCTGGGTAATAGATTCTAGCAGTATTGCGCATCAAGTAAAACTAAAATATCATTGAAGTGACGCATAACAATGATTCTAATGAATTAACTTTGAATAAATCTAGCAAATGAGAACACGTTTACTTTTGATATCTTCACTTCCAATAGATCAGTATAAGTTCTGTGAAACAACTTGAAATCTTAAGAGTCAGAACTGAGAAATAATTCTGAGCCGAATTAAGACATTTTCAAATTTTCCCTTAAAATGCTGAGTAGGTAGTTGGTGAAATGTAAACAAACTATTCTACCCAAGTTAATATTTTACGTAACTTGTGTACAATTACAATTAACCAATAACTATGGAAAACCATCGGTGGTCACTAATAGAGAAATGTCAATGATTTACCAGCATATATTATTGAATGATTTGGAAGTTATCTACCAACCAAATTTATCGATTTGCATGACTCAATCCTCTAATGAATATGAATGAAGTTTAGCTTGATAATACAGAGTAAAGTATTGTATATATCATTTTTAAACCATTCACATAAGAATAAAACTAAGCAAACTAGATTAACTGTTTTCATTAATACAATACACCTCAATAACACTCAGTATTCATTTTTACAGAACTTAAAGGTTAATATTCAAGGACAACATTTAAACGGTATAAAGAAAGATTAATTGTGTCGTTTTCCTTAGAATAATTCTCATAACAATTGTATCCTTCAGTTTTAAGTGTCAGTGAATAACATCTTATTGACTATAAGGTTTTTGAGAGCTACTCATTTTTCTGATAATTTAGTTTATCTAATATTTATCATGGTTAAATCTCCACAAAACCCCTTCTATAATTAATATTATCTAATATTTATCAGTTCAAAGGGACAGAAGGGAAATATTATAATCATGTTTGAGATAAACAAATGACTCACTAAAATAAACAACAGATGTCCATTCAGGATTTTTTACTAATGTTTTGAATGTTGCCCCAACAACTTTATGTATAAATTTTAATTTCAGCGGTGGTGTTTTAATCATACTAGACAAGGGAATATGTCCTATATTTTCAATATCGTCACTGACATTTTCATCATACTCTGGTACAATTTCACTTATATAGAAAGGTGATAATTTACGTTGTAGAAGTTGGTCAAAAAAGTTGATAATGTCCTGTGTTTCGATCATATTCATCAGATCACGATTATTAAATCCTTTCCGTCCAAATTCGAATTTAGGTCCCTTCAGACGATAACGAATTCGTGAACCCTTTTTGGAAGTAGCCACTAATTGAAATCGTGGATAACCATAACCAACATGAACACCGTGTTGCTGACTAAATTTCAAGTTGATTTCGTTTGCTATATCAACAAAGTAGCAACGTATCTAAAAGGAGTAAGAAGAAAATCATTTAAACATTTTAAATGCTTTCATATTACTTGTATCAAGATTTTAAATAGTTCAATGTTCCGAAGATAAACTTTATGGATATAAATCTGATCTTTAAAGCATGAAACCAATCAGTTATGATTTATTTTGATTTATACATCTGACACTGTCATTACTAGAAGTTGAGCCTTCATAAATAATTGACTGTTCGTTAATGAAAACCTTTGGATTGAATTTTTACAAAAACTGACAACTCCGTGTGAAGCATACTACATTAAATCCTATAAAAATAAATTCTAAAACATTCTCCTTTTACAATTCTTTTACAGTTACGTCAGACAGCGGTGAAAGATGTTTGATTGCTTTGTTACCTTAACTATTCATTTGTTTTCTGATTCGTAACTCAGTCGTACTGCTTGGGTTGAATACTTTTTATGGAAATTAAACTATGAGTCAGTTAAGGCATTCTCATACTCAATCAGTAAACTATCTCATTTCCTTAAGTCTATTGAGTTGAAATTCGAGGATAGGTTCGTTAAAGAGATGTTCAGTTTGGCCAGATCAGTGGATTAAGTATTTAAGTAAATCAACCAAGCATCTACAACTTTTATGTTTAAAAGATTTGAATTCTGAAGCACGTTGCTGAAATATTTCATTGATTGTTAGTATAGCCGATTGTGAACCCATACTCAACATTCACTGGCCCAATACTATCAGCAACAGTCTTTTATGGGAAAGGACAAACCAGCTTCCAGCTGAAGAGGAAATTAGGAAAACACGTTGGAGGTGGATCGTACATACATTGAGGAAATCATCAAACTGCATCACGAGGCAAGCCTTAACTTGGAATCCGGAATGGAAGCGGAAAAGAGGACGGCCAAAAAACACATTACGCCGGGAAATAGAAGTAGATATGAAAAGGATGAATGTTAATTAGAAAGAACTGGAAAGGATTGCCCAGAACAGGGTTAGATGGAGAATGCTGGTGTGCGGCCTATGCTCCACTACGAAGGGTAACAGGTGTAAGTAAGTAAGTAACAATTACTACAAAATAATTAAGTATGTAACAGATATATGATGAAATTAGATTATACAAATTTAGAAATTACAAAACAAAACTACCTCCTTTCTAAATAGTTTACAAGCATTACGATAATTATTTAATGCTAATGGGAATTCAAAATCAGATTGTATTAGAAATAAATATACATCATGTTTGATTGTAGCACTATCAAAGTAAGTTAATTCACCAATTTTGAACTCATTAACAATTGGTAAAGATTCAATAAATAAATATGAGCCTAATGATTCAATATTCCAATCACCTGAATAAATTAAGTGAAATGGCTAAAAACAAAAAAGAAAACATGAAAAGTGTTTTTTTCATAAGTGATTCGTAAAGTTTATTGTATTTGAAATGAATTTACACTACAGACCTAATCTAGTTAGATAATCATTAAAAAGCAGGATTCTATCCTTATTTAAGTTGTGGGGATGTACTATTAAAGAGTCTCATAGTAGAAAGAAACAAAAGCCTATTAATCCTTGATTTTCTTTAGTTTTCTAGCTGAATTCACTCTGTGGTGTAGACTAGATTCAAATGTAAATATACTTATCAGTGTAGGGTTGTAGGCATTATTGTGTTTTATTGAGATCATGGATCAATTAATGTTAAACCACTATTGAAAACCTGAAAGCACTGGACGACCGTTTCGTCCTAGTGTGAGACTCGCATCAGCAGTGAGCATCCACAATCCTACATGTGGACCCAAACCCGGGCTTACTAGTGACAAGCTTCGAGAGGTAGTTCTTGGAGTTCTAGTGGGAATCCGTGACTAGTGGAATTCAACCTTGCCATGTATGATTCAGTTACCTACCGAAGACAATGGAAGATAGTCTCGCAATATCGTGCAGTGGTTGAAGTTAATCATTAACATCGTTGGATGCCAATTCAGTGGTCTGAAGTTTAAGCGTTCGTGCGCAAGATCGAAGGCAATAGGTTCGGATACAGCATGCGGCATTGTGGATGCGCAGTGTTGAGAGGAGTTCCATATTAAGACGAAAAGGTTGTTCAGTGCTTTCAGGTTCTCAATAGTGGTTTACGATTGATCACTTCATGATTTCAAACAAATATGTTTATTTGAATGATTTGATCAATTGTTTTTCCAAAAAGATTAGAATAGACCGAATTTCTTAAGATAATTGGAATGATGGACGATTCCAATTAAAAAGTATAAATAGAGTTCTATAATTACTGAAAAGTCAATTTCTTCATGAGATATGAAATATAAACAGGAAAAAAACCGAGTACCTGTTTTCTTTTATTTCAGTCTAACAGATAAAGACATTTATAAATTAATTTCCCCAAAGTGAAAGAAAACTAGGTCATTTATAATTTAATCTAATCGTTTTTTTCTTTACTCTTAAGTTAAGCTTAACATTTACTGGTTCCTGCTAATGAATTCATTTGTTATCTGTAATTTTATCTAATATAAGTGTACAATGGAGTATGAGTAAGATCCAAAGTATGTTCAATATACTAGCGGTGATGTTAGCATTCGCTGTGAAATTTGAGCCCAGTACAGATCTTTCCAAGCATCACAAGTTTGTATGATAAAGCATTGAGTGATAACCTAACGTGTAATAATAAGATTACATTTTAAAACACTTGTCAAGTGATATTTCTGCTTTCTTTAGAACAAACCATAGATTATCGTAATGAAATGTTGTTGTTACATTATCTTTACTTTGATTATTTTATACAAACAAAGATTCTAATTTAATCACACATTTACTTTTCTATCAAACTTCACTGTTAGTCACCATATAATACGCTAAAGTTAGTAAATTTCTCTTTCACTTGAATTATCACTGAAAATGATTATAAACGTTTATGTGATTAAAAGGAGGCTTGATATGAGATTGTCTTTACAGTCATTCTTTATAAAACAGTCTTTGGGAACATCATATTACAATCAAATCACCTGTTGTCACCATAAAATATTGACGTTTCAGATTTATGTGTCTAACTCTCAATATTCAAAATACGGTGACATGATCCATCCAAGAATATTTGACTTACCTAAAAACGCTACATTGAATTAAAGTAATAGATGGGTGCTTCATGATTAATAATGGGCGATAAGATAGTTCAGGGTATTTAATCAACCGAATTTCATAGTTCGGTCGATAAAGTATCGAGTCTGTATTATAACCGGAGCTCGTTTTAAACTTACTACAATAGTTTCCGCAAGTCTTCAATCTTTATTCATTCAGAAAATTTATCTTTCCATCAACTGTGACTACAGTGATTTGATTAAAGCTTTGTCCTAGCTAAACTTTACCATGTACTTGAGTATTAAATACATCAGAATGTCTTAATAATAATATGGTTGAAGTTATTGCTCATAAATACGGTTTCAAATGACAGATATTTATGCATAAAATTACCTCAGTATTCTCAGACTCTTTTCTAATTAACAATAATTTTTGTTTTGTTATATTGAAATGATCGAAAATTGTTTCATTATAAACTAAGCCGTATGCTATATGATCAGCTTGTTCAGCAACTGTGCTAATATTCTTCATTACTTTTTCATCGAAATCCTGTAAATATAAAGAAGAAATAAATTGGGCATATAATGAAATTATTCAACATACAAACAATGACAGTATTAACAAATATATTTAAAAACTAATTTCTATTGAACTAAGTTTAGATTGCATACATTTAATAAACTGAATAAGAGCTCGTATTCATGTTCAGATTCATGTAATTAACCAGTTATTACGCGTTTTGTAAGAATTAGTTCAACCTGACTGCTGGGACCAAAGTATATGGAGCGCGATTCAAACCCGCGACTTATAAAAGTATAACTTCATACTCATAAATGTCTACAATTGACTTTACATAAATCTGTTTTGATAGATTGACTAATATCTTAAACTCACGTAATTTCAACCTTTAAAGGCGATTACACACACTGGCAATTCAGAATGATTGCTTTAACAATAGATTCAGTATTAACTAAGGAACTACTGACAGCAACTCTACATTTAATCATTACGTATAGAGAAAAAGGCTGCTAGTGTATGAGTGAAAAAATTTGATGTTAAGTTCGTTCCAAAGCATAACAACGTCACCAAAATGTCAAGGAATTACGAGATTATCATCCTCAAGTGATGCCAATCCAACTTTAAAATGAACGATTTCTACAAAACCTGTAGCTCAATCTGATTTTAATTTCTTTAAATAAGTTCTAGGAAAACCATAATACGCCCCCAAATGCCCTGATACGACCAACAGTGGGGGGGCCACCCTCTCTCTCGAAATGCTTTCACATAGCCATGCGTATACAGTCTCTGCCACGGAAGTTCTATTCACTGCCTTCTAGCAGAGGGGGTGTTCTCCGCGAAATAGAGAGGACGAAAAGCGAATGTCTGGAGCTTTAACCGTACTGGCGGACACGGAAAGTCCACCTAGGGGAGTTGGAAAACCCTGATTCCAAACCAATGGCTCCAGTATCCTGAGAGAACAAATGGCGTATGAACCAATCATCGGTCAGCGGCTATCATGGGACTGCATCTCCTCACGATGCTCCACTGACTTGTGGATCAGACCTTCAGGTCATAGGCTCCAGGTGTGGCCCTCTAAGAAAGCCACCTGCTTCGGTCTGGGCACCCGGGCAGTATCATAGCCCTCACACAATTAAATGAAATGAGTTTTCTGTTGTGTGGCGCATATATATCTGGTGCCCCTTTGTACCAATATTTATGTGTTCAAATAAATAAATAAATGCATTGTTAATCGACCTATTCGTATAATAATTGGATTAAAATAAATTACATGGCAGAAAACATAAATGAACATGAAAAAATTCACAATCAGATCTAATCTAGAACATAGAAACGTATTATCGAAATCTTGTTTTGCTCATTATCTTCATCTAAGATAATGTGTAAAAATAACATTAATAATATTCAAGTTCAGATCAGTTTGATAAGGTTTTGCTCTGTTTATTATTATCAACTGACCATAATAAATTGTTGAATTAACTACCAGTAAGTTGTTTGGTTGAATCTTCCCACTGACGTTTGAGACTGTAATTGATCAGTCTCTTATTGGCATATGTGCATACTGTGTGTATTGCCTCGATATAGCCTTAATTCACAAGCATGGTAAGCAAAGATGGATAGTGGCCAGCAGGTACATCCAGCTGACGAGTCCCAAATAGAACGAAACGCGCACCCTGGATTCCACTCCTGACCACTATCCATCTGTGCTCATAATACCAGTAAGTTTATTTCTATTTATTAGTTACGAAATAAAAAGATTATTACGAAAATATATCGTTATTTAATTAATGGTCATTAACTTGAAATAGTTTTATTATACAAATTGAGAATTTCATACATCTACTAATAACAGAACACTAATAACGGAACTCTGTAAACGTGCTATTTTTTTTCAAAACTTCTGCTTTCCTTTCACACTGCCTAATGCAGACACCTAACATTGAATCGATAACAAACTTTGAAATTCTTTGCCATGATTTTTCATCGGTTTCCTATTCTAAAATAGCTGCGAATATATAGAGTGGTCAGATAGTATGTAACTATTAGTTATGTACTATCCCTATCAAATGCATACATTGTTAATAACTAGTATCATTCATTAGTAAAGTGAGCTTTACTTCCTTACAGATTCCCTACACTATTGTCATAATCTAATCATTTGAAAACAGGTGAGAAACTGATTTAAATTTGACATGTTAGGGGTACAAAACATTTATTTAGTTTACTTTATCAGGTTGAGTAAAATACCAGTAGCCATAAAAGACTATAATTCGTCTCACTTAAATAGACACATTTCATATGTTCCAAGAATAGGCTTAAATAAACACTTTAGTCAAGTATGATTTAATTAACTTCAGTACATTTTTAAAGTGTTTTCATCATCAGACTGTAATTAATCTAACTCACTTCATAATTAATAATAATTTTTATCAACTTTCTATGGAGTCCTTTTTACCAATTTTTTAAAGCATCATAGTGACAATAGCAATAACCTTCACAATTTCTTAATAGGACTAAACAGTTCTTGTATTTCTGTCCCTCTTATACATGTTTTCAATGATTTATTGTTCAACAAAAATTTAAAAGGTGCCGTATATACACATGCTAGTCTATGTGCGTGATATATATATATATACGTATGTGTGTACGTATGTATGTGTATGTATATGTATATGCTATTTATGTATATGTATGCTATTGTATAACTCCGCCTGGAGCCCATCTGGAGTTACTGCCGGTCCAAAGACCGGATAAAGGAAGATGGTTGGGCACGGGGTTAGCTACCCCATCCCGTAGAAAACTGACTCGCTAAAAAACACCAACCAGAAAAAATAATCCTGCTGGGCGGCCTATGCTCCATTGGGGTAACAGGCGTAAGTAAGTAATGCTATTGTATAGCGTCTAGAAGAAATTTACATAGAGGGTTTTTCTGTATTTGCACTATGGACTGGTTTTAGACAATCATTGAGAACCAGAGAGGATGAGAATATATTTCGTTACAGTATGAGAATCTTTAATAGTGCATATTCACGGTCTCATATCAGGTGTGAAATGAAGATCACAGATGGCAATAAATGATAGTCGCGTGATATCGTGAATTTAATCAAGTCAGAAGTTCAAGTTATTAAATGTCAACTCATCGATCTAGAGGTTAGGCACTCACTCGGAAATTTGAAGGTCCTGGATTCCATCCCAGTTGGATCATGCATGGGCATTGCTGATGGCTCTCATAATAGAATAAAACAGCTATCCAATGCTTCATGGACCACAACGGTTGTCTAAAATCAGTACGTGATGTAAGATTACAAAATTTGCCCAACTTCACAACCCGTATACTAAAAGAGGTATCTTTGAACTATTACCTTTCATTTTAACATCTCATTCATTTAATATTGAGTTCGGCAATACATTATTTGAGGAGATGCACCTAAAAAGTTAGATTATTTTCTAGATCATATAATCCTTTGAACATATTTAACAGAAATGTGGCATTTTATGTTGAAATTTCAAGATATGTTTCATTAAATATGCTAAATAGTGATTTAGGTTCATCTTCATTGGCTAGACTATATCAACTATCAACTGGTATTCTATTGTACTTCATTTTAATCTCTTGTCTCCTAAAGCATTTAGTCTATAATTAAGTAAAAGAGAATCTTGGTCATTCATATTAAAACTTTTTAATTGCTCATCTGTACAAGTGTTAATCGAAACCACATATAATTATCCCAGTTACATTAAAATATCATAATATCATATACTGAATAAAATGATACTTATTATCTCTATCGTTGTTTACTAAAGACTGAATGGACTCAAAAGGATTTTGAAGAATGATGACGTTTTTGTATATGAGCCATATGTAAAAATTAGGGTATATGAAATAAAACTCAATTTGCTGTCTAACGTATTTGATGAACGTGATTATGTACGTTTACCAACATTAGTCGCATGAACTATTTAGTCGGAATTTGCACAGTAATTTAGTCTGCAGAGTTTAACATTCCATATTGGATGAGTTTCTTTTTGAACAATTTAACATATGAATAGATTAATTTCAATTAATATAGTGTAAAAATATATGATTCAATCTTACCTTTATAAATATGATAGCAATTAAATTATTATTGATAATAAATTCATTGGTTTCATTCATACTTCTTAATAATTTGATTGGTGAACCAATTTTTAGTTTTATCCATTCATATAATGGATTACCATGGTTTCCATTGATTTTCATTAATTCTTTATATTCAGATTTATACTTTCCACCATCACGAAAATATGTAACTGATGGTATCTTTGACATAATGAGAAAATAGAATATGAGAAAATACTTTATATAATATTAATTTAATATATCTTGGGAAAAAAGCGACATATGATAATGATCTCTGCCTATTACAATAAGTCTTTGGTTACCATTGTATTTGGACTTGAAAACAATTGAACTGTTACCAGTAAAATTTTCAATACTCTATTTGACTATGCTTCAATTTTCAAAGGGGTCATATTTGAACACTATGAATATTGCTTGACTAAAACAAGCTTTTGTTAGAAAATATCATTTTACGACACTCCATGCAAGATAAATGATTCTTGTAACTTTCATTCAATTCAAGAGTTCCTGTACTGAATTGTATTATGTAGTCAGTAATTAATACTATTCGTATATATATATATATATATATATATATATATATATATATCCCGAATTCCAATCTTCTGAATTCTTCATGTTCCTATCTTTTTCCTCTTTCCAACTTTATTTCACTGGATTAAGCTCCTTGCATAACATCTTCAAACCCTAACCTTTCGGATTACTGCTTATATCCTTACTACCTTTACCGCTATGAGATTTGAATCGACAGCTGCATCTCTGTGCTAATGTGGTATGGCGACTGGAACTGATGTACGTACGTACGTACGAAGTTCTACGTTGTTACTTACTGATATATGTATATATATATATATATATATATATATATATATATATATATAATTTAGGAATGTCAATCACTCAAAATTAAAATAAACAGGATCCATTTATTATTGTTACATTTTTGGATGTAACATAAGTCTTATCTTAAACCAGTAACGAAAACACAGTGTTAGGATAATTAAAAATCAATTTAATCACTTATATGTAATTGACAGTACACAAAATTATGTCAAGTTACAAAACCAAAAAATAAAAAACACTAATTGATAAATTAGAGAACTACTACATCCATCTTCAAGAAGGTGCAAGTATTTATAAACAGTTGTTTACGAAAAATACTCAACATTCAGTGGCCGGGTACTTTCAGCAACAGCGTTTTATGAGGAAGGACAAACCAGCTTCCAGCTGATAACGAAATTAGGAAAACACGTAGGAAGTGGATAGGACGCATATTGAGGAAATCACCCAACTGAGTCACAAGACAAGCTCTCACATGGAATCCTGAAGGCCAAAGGAAAAGAGGAAGACCAAAGAACACATTACGCTGGGAAATAGAGACAGACATGAGAAGAATGAACGAAAGTTGGATAGAACTAGAAAGGAAGGCCCAGGACAGAGTGGGTTGGAGAAAACTGGTCGGCGGCCTATGCTCTTCACAAGGGGGAACAGGCGTAAGTAAGTAATTGATAAATGCTCACTGATTTAATCATTCTGAAGTATTAAAATCTGTAAAATAATATTTATGATAATACAATCATCATCATATTAATCTGATTATCATAATAAAAAAATAATAACTGCTCAGTTACCAAACTTCTGTTTTCTTCATTCTATAATCAGTTGTATGAAAAGTGACTATTGAAATTCATCTACCCTGGTGCAAGTGAATTCTATTTGCTTATTAATCTTTGTATTCTGTCAGTAAGTCTATCAAAAAAAGCAGATTATGCTATCAAAGGATGATTTTTGGCAGATTATTCTTTTACAAGTTATTCTTGACTTGTCTTTAATTCATTTCTAGTTAGAACATTATTGATGGAGGTTTGTCAGTATTTTCACACTAACGTTGACAGTAGAATTGAAATAATTATTTTATATTGCTATCTACATTCCTGTTATGGATGTCTTGTTAACATTTACGAATCTACTTTACTCATGTCTAATAATGACTGATGGTAGACTTCAATACATTGGCCATCCAGTCTATTAGATGGTTGTTATCAAATTGTGCGCTTACTCATCAGAACACATAATCATTCTGACTGACAATAAGACTGAATTATGGTAGGATGTTCTATGCTTTCTATGATTGTTTCATTATGTTTCTCAATACTAACTCAGTTGTACTTAGCAGTGATCTTATTTTCAATGAATACTTAAAAAAAAACTTTTTACCAAGAATATAGTTAAGTATGATCATAAAAAAGATACTTATTCTACTATAAAGTATGAACGATACCATGAAAGGGTGAAAAACGAAAAGAAACTTGGCTTTTGTGTATTTAGTTTTGGCTGACGGTAGAATCTAGGGATGTATTTTTCGTCCTGTTCGGAACTTGTCAACTGAATGTACCTGTACCTATGCTGGGACTCAAACCCAGTGCCATTCACTTCACACACCAAATGAATTATCCACTAACCTTCACTAAAACACTTGACTGTTGGTTCGTTCAAGTAAACTGTTCAATTAATATTTATAGACATAATCAATTTCATATGATATGAAAGTACAATTACTCTTGTAGTTCCTGGTAGTTATTGTAGTAGTTTCTTGTAGTTAAACTACATTATTTCATAGTAACTTCTCAATAAGATCAATTTAAAATTACTTTATACCTTAATTATAGGTAGAACTTCAATTGTTTAAAATATATATGAAATTTTAATGAGAATAACAATTAGTTAAACCCGTTTTAGTGAATTTGTTTGTTATAATCAGATCATGGATGCCCACCCGTGAGGAGTCTTATACTAGGACAAAACGGCCATCCAGTGCTTCCAGGTTTTCCATGATGGTTTAGCTTCAATTGACTCATGAATTCAACTATTAAATTTGTTAATTATTTAAATTTTAATAAGTGTGGTGTTTAAAAAAATAGTAGAAATGAGTAATATTTAATGATAAGTACATTTTATATTATAATAAAGTGTATCCATATGTGTATATAATGCAAATAGATATAAAGCTGTACTTACATAAATGTTCAACTTCTTTTCCATCTCATCATAAAAGGTTGCACATACGGTAACTACTGAAATCGGTAACATAGTTTCATCTGCTTTATATGATGTTTCATTAACTAATTTATAAATTGATTCCTGTTGATGACCATGATCATCTAATAAACATCGTAAAATAATTATCATTAATTAAATAATTGAATTGAACTTCGACTAGTCTTCTAATCATACTCCTCAATTGCATATACACATTATGCCGGGAAATAGAAGCAGATATAAAAAGGACGAATAACAACTGGAAAGGATTGCCCAGGACAGGGTTGGATGGAGAATACTAGTGTAAGGCCTATGCTCCTCCACAAGGGTTAACAGGCGTAACTAAGTGTGACATGTATCTTTTTTTATTGTATGATTTTCATATAACTTTATAGGTAGTAATTACGTTTGGATGCATTTACATTATAAAATATTCTTCTTATCAATCATTCAATGTTTCAATGTCATCAATTAGGTTTTTTTTAATTGACACCAGATTTATATAATTCTACATTTCAGAATACCTCTAAAATAATCGAGATCTTGAAACTGACATATGGAAAAGTATTTCATTCACTATTGTAGGAGATTTATAAACTTCCACTGGTGAAGACTGATAAACTAGTATAAACCCATTGTTAAGAATTTTATGATTTACAAGGTATCAAACTGCCTTTCAAGCTTATTTTACATATAGTAAATAATTTTCTATATTTATCTATATCAAACTCAATAACTAAGTGTAACTTCATATACTAAGCTTAAAATTACAGGTATATGAGAAAGATTTGTCCTATGGTTTTAAGTTAATTGCTCTTACCATTGAAAATCTTTATTCAAATAATGATGATTTATAATGAGATCAATCTCCGAAATAACTGATTGATTAAAATTACAACTTTAAAAAAAAATTTGATTTCCCGATTTTTCAACACTTTAACTGATTCTCTGAGCTTACAAATGAGAATATAAACTTAAGGTTTAATCAAATTTATGAAATGATTTTTTGTGTTAACATTTATGTACAGCAAAATTGTGATGATCACGAACAAATGATCAATAAATGAAGTAAAAGAAATCATGAGTCAGTTGAAGCTAGACCACCATGGAAAACCTAGAGGCATTGAACGAAACGGCCGTCCAGTGCTTTCTAATTTTCCATAGTGATCTAGCTTCAATTCACTCATGATTTCAACTATATAAAATTACTATAATCTTCACAAAACCTCATTCTCAAATAAAATAAATATTTAATAGAATTTCCATAGCAATTCTCATTACAAAGAAAAAAATAACTAGAAAAAACATGAAAAATTAAATATTACTGAAAAGCTATTTATTTTACATTCAGAATTCTTCAACAATTCATATCCATAATTGTATAATATGATGGAATCGAATATAAGAATTTAAGACGTTGTAAATAGTGCAACGTATTTAGACAGTTCAGTTTACATTTAATAGTTTACATGTTCATCTTAAGTTCATCAATGACTTGAATCTAAAGAATTTAGATTCACGCCAAATATTCACAAAATTCACCTTGAAATTAACCATTGATGGTACTGAGGTCAGGTTATGAAAAGTTTTAACTGCAGAAAAGTTCCTATCTCGGCTAATATGGTTGTTTACTCTTCCCTTGTTTTCAAAAGTTCTCCAGTTGTTATAACTAGAATGAATGAACTATGTAACTTTTGTTCGGGTGTAATTTTTAAAGATATTCTTAGTATTTATATTCTTAACTTATTCGGACGAGTTATTCTAATATCCTTAAAGAGAAAACAAAATTGAATAAAACCTTAAATGAGGCTTCTCTTAAGAGAGGAATTTCTAAATTGCCAATTAAGTTGAATATCGCACTGAGAGAAGGTTAGTCAGTGGTCTCCCTACAACTTACTAGTGATTTATCCTGTCAGATTGAAACCATCTTAACTTATTGTATTGGCTTTCATCAGCTGATAGTTTTAAAAACTAAACAATTAATAGTCAATCAATGGTATGACATTATTGAACGAATCTAGCTACACTAAATGAATTCGTCAAAGAAATTACTAAACAGAACTCTCATATTATAAATCCAAACGAGCCACCGACTGTTAGATGAATGTGATTTAAAAATAACTAAACTATTACATTCGTGATCATGAAAAAGAACACTTCATATATTGAAAATAAATTATTACTTACAGAAATAAACAACAACATGTCTCTGAACTGACAATATTTGATAAAGTGTGTTATTATCTACCTGTTCAACTGTATCATTTATACGATTTTTCATAAAACCAGTAGAAAATTTAAGGACACTCAACGATATGATTATTAGTTGGAGAAATCCCAATTTCTTTGAAATATACATAATTGTCTAGAAAACAAAGTAATAAGAATCATAGATATGATTAATTACTGGTGAAAAAGAAAAATCATTTACTAAAACTGTTTAATATGAGATGGTGGAGAAGATTTGTAGCTCAGGTAAATAATTTTGATGGAGTTTTGTTCTCTGAGTTGGATGGTTATGTCGTGGAGCTTTCATTGCCCTTCTGAACGACATCATCAGCACAAACACTTCACTTCTACCCGAAGTTTGTTCTGATGATATAGTTCAGAACGTCGATGAAAGCTCCACGACCAAACCATTCAGCTCAGAAAACAAAGCTCCATCAAAAACTGTTTATTATTTTACGACTGGAACATTTGTGATTTCCCTTCTAAGAATTATATTCTACAGTTTATAAATGACAGATTAGTTACATCTCACTAAAATATTGTCAGTTATACTCAAATATATGAGATAAGTAGAAATGGTAAAAATCAGAAGCAAAGATCTTACTACATAATCTCCAGGCAAATATTTTATTCTAACCTTATATATATATATATATATATATATATATCAGTCCAAACACTGAACAAATAAATTTTAATGTATATTGTTTGTCTAGGCTAATAATTCACTCATTCATTACAATTGGTGACACTTATGACATGATTAATCATATCCGAAACGGCCGTCCAGTGCTTCTAGGTTTTCCCTGGTGGTCTAGCTTCAATTGACTGACGCTTTCAACTATGAAAATATCTGAAAATGTCCAATAAAAAGAAATCTCACTTAAATTATTTCGCTTAATATAATTGTTATTAAACAGTTAAAGTTGTATGATTCATTCTTTATTAAGTATAATGTCTCTGAGCATATCAATCTCCCAATTATGACATTTATGACACCTTTTCCTTCACAGGTTAATGAAATGTATAAATAATATTTATTGAAATAATGACATATTGGGTGACATACTAGGTGGATAATGACTGAAAGTTATTCATTCTTATTAAAGTAGAATATAATGGTGTATAGTGTAGTGTTCATTATTTTGAATAATTTTTGTAGAAAGTTTTAGAACTGTCACCTTTAAATAGACACTTGTCTATGTGACATTATTTACGTCTTAACAAGAACAATTCAGAACATTTAAAAGCTTCATCACTAGAATATTTAGGGACTAAACTGATTAAATAAGAATAATATATTTGTAAAATTTCAGCGAATGAAATTGAAGTAAATCCAACGTTTCGCCTGGCAATCTAGTTCAACCTTTTTCAAGGAAATATAATCAAACATCAAAATTATCGAATATAAATAGGTACATGGTTCTAAACTGATTAGTTTTACAATAAGTTAAATTTTTGTTCGATATTTTAATCCTAATCACAATACATTGATGTAAGAAGAATAATATGTATAGGAAACTGTTCACTATCAAAACAAAAAGATGAATTTTGAAATTAATATGAATTTCCTAGATGTTAAAGATGTGTAATTCGAAGAATATACAGAAAAAAAACCTAAGCACAACGTCCTGAACACTTAAAAGTCTAGAAGAAAAAACGATACATTCTCATCTTTTGTCAGTTAACTTATTAGATATGTTGTATTCCATTGAAGATTCAATTAAAGCGTTAGGTAGAATAATGGCTTGTATTTTATTATAATATCGCTATACTTTCCCGAGTCATTCTAAACCTACTGTTCGTTTGTGAAAATTTCAGTGACTTACTAGCATAACTTTGTGTTTAACCTCAAGGTACATTACTTCAAAAGCGATTTAAAAGAAATTTTATTGGAATGTAAATGGATAGTTGTAATTTTTACATTTCACTTGGAACCCACTTAACTGTTTAATAGTTAATCGATTTGGTTTATTTCCCATATGAGCGGTCAGTTAACACTTCTACTAAGCCAACCAAAATTGGATATATGTGACCAACCAGTCGTCGTTTGCTTTCCGTATTATGTGTTATTTCGAGCCGATATCTGGTTTTGGGACCGCAATAGTTTACCCAGCCTATCAATCAGTTATTGTTATTCATCCTTTATGACTCTCATGGTGCTGCTTATACAGATATTAATTTTGGGTTGGGCTACGAAGTTACACTTTCTTTGATTATGCCATATGTAGATATTTTCAAATTATTTTTTTATTGAAAGTTTAATATACAGGTAATGTTTAGTGGTAAGACAATGAATGGAATAGGTCTGATAACCTTCGTCTTCTAATCACTCTGCCAAATTTATCAGACGGACCAACTGCTTTAAACTGTAATCGAATAGTGTTTTAAGGTGCGGATGAAAATAGACGATGAGGTTCTGATGTAATAAAATATGTTGCCAGACTTTTTACTGATATTTTGGGACCACTGTTCACATGATGACTTCAGACCCTAATCGATAATAAATGATAAATTCACCAATTAAAATTACGACTATAAAATTTTCTATCCCGCGTCTATTAGCCTACGTCATAGAGGACCAAAAGAGGAATTTATTTATTTAAACACATGAATATTGGTACAAAGGTGCACCAGATATATATACGCCACACAAATCTCATTTGATTTGTATGAGGGATATGGTACTGCTCAGGTGCCCAGACTGAAGCAGGTGGTTGTCTAAAGGGGTCACACCCCGAGCCTTTGACCTGAAGGTCTGATCCACAAGGCAGTGGAGCATCGTGAGGAGATGCAGTCTCATGGTAGCCGGTGACCAACGATTGATTCATACGTCATTCGCTCCCTCAGGATACTGGAGCCCATGTGCACCATTGGTTTGGAATCAGGGTTTCCCAACTCCTCTAGGTGGGCTTTCCGTGTCTACTGACCCGGTTACAGCACCAGACATTCGCTTTTCATCCCAATTTCGTGGAGAGCACCCCGCCACGAGAAGACCGTGAGTAGGACTTCCCTGGCAGTGGGTGTATACGCGTGGCCATATGAGAGCATTTGGAGAGGGAGAGCTGACTCTCCCCACTCTCGGCCGTACCAGGGTATTCGGGGGCACCAAAAGAGGGAGTCACAAAGTCTACTGCCCTACACTTGACCAATTAAACTTTCTGACCTGCACAGTCAAACTTGACCGAACATGATCTGCACTCCTATTTTTCCGCTATCTGCAAGTTTTTTTAATCCTCTGCCTTGAGTCCGAAGTAGGTAACTATATTCCTAAAATTCTCAGCTATTAACCTTAATATAAAATCCAATAGGCTTTGTAGACCAAGCCTTTTTAAGGCGAATCATAAACCATGAAAGTTATCGAACATGGTTCATAAATATTAACTATGTGCTAAAAATTCTCCAATTTGGTAAGCAGAGATGGATAGTGGCTGCAACTGGCCAGTCTCTAATTGGGATATGTGCATACTGTGCGTATTGCCTCGATATAGCCTTAATTCACAAGCATTGTAAGCAAAGATGGATGGTGGCCAGCAGTGGAATCCAGGACGCGCATTTCGTCCTATTTTCTAGTTGTTTTAACAATGTTGATAATGTAAAAATTGAGGTAAGATGACATGCATAGGTATCTGGAGTTGACAATTATTGTATGGTGGTTGTGATTCCTCACCCCCAACGTTGATGAGAAATTTTAGGGTATGATAAAAAAAAATTTGAAATAGGTGATTGGTAAACTTGTTTTTAAAAGTGTGTGCTCATGTGATTATGAACAAACATTTTGTCGCCTATAATAACTTGTTAATTGGCTGTGAACTGCACATCTTTGTAATCTGACTAGTTCATATCCAAATATCATCAAGTGCTTTGACAGAATGTGAGAATTTGCAATTTTACATTTGAATTTTATTTTGAATATATAATTCTATCAAATGGTTCAAACATCATTTTGTATAAACTTTTAACTTCCGAAAAAAGTAAACGTCAATTCTATTCGACTGTCATGCTAAACTTCTGTCTATGAATAGATAATAAAATAAAATTAATTATCAGAAGAGGTTTCGTGGAGATTTAGTATTTTTCATAGTTGAAAGCGTGAGTCAGTTGAAGCTGATTGATAATTAATATAATCATATGCTCACTAGTGACTTCGAGAAGTATATCTAGAAGCTCTAGTGAGAAGCAGTGACCGGTGGAGTTCAAACCGTGAGATAAGAACTCACTGGAGACTATTGGTGAATGGTTGCTCAACTTCGTGGATCAGTTGAAGTTAGACATTAACAGCGTTGGACATCAGCTCAGCGGTCTATCGGTTAAGGGCTCTGGCTCGAGACTGGTAGGTCCTGGGTTCGAATCTCGCGAGGGCGGGTTCGTGGGTGCGCAATGCTGAGGAGTTCCATAATAGGACGAAACGGCCGTCCAGTGCCTGCAGGTTTTCCATGGTGGTCTAGCTTCAATTGACTCACGCTTTCAACTATGAAAAATAAAATAAAAGGTTTATTTTTTTTTCGATCACGTAGAAATGGAACTGAAGTTGCTAGGTTTCATGACAAGAGAAAGACAATGCATGTTATTAAAAGTAAATTGGAAAAAAAAACTGATAATTATTTTTAATAGTAGATAACAGTGATTACTGAACTTAAAAACTAATAAAATGTTTAATGCACAAGTAATGAAGTGATTTCCATGAGTTATTTTAACATAGAGTTTGATCTTGTAATGATCGTTAGATATACTTAAACATATAGATATATCATTATGATAAAAAAATGTGTAAGCGGTAATGTAAATCAGTTATTGTGCTTGGGAAGTGCGCGTTAAGTTTTTTTTAATCAGAATGGGGGCTTAGGAAGATTGTAGTAATTTTAGTAGTTGAATTCATGAGTCAAGGTAAGCTAGACCACTATTGAAAACCTGGAAGAGCTGGACGGCCTTTTCATCCTTATACGGGACTCCTTAGCAGTGCATATTCACCACTCTGTATGAGGGGCTTGAACCCAGAACCTTCGGTCTTGCCAGCGAAAGATTAACCTCTAGAATACTGAGCCGGCATTCAACAGTGGTAATGTCTAACCTACATCGATTTATGACCTTGAAAAACCATTTATCCATTGTATGAGACAGATGCCTGTC